AAATTATGTCTGTTTAAAGAATTAAAGAGAATGTATTATCACATAAAAAACGAAGCAACTTAAACAACTTACATTGAAAGAAATGTTTAATAAAGTAAACAAATAAAGCTTTTTTTTTTTTTTTTTTTTTTTTTGTAAATTTTGATACCCTTTAGATCATAATTGTTCTTTGTTTCATAAATTATGGTTTCATATTTTTAATTTTATAATTTCTGCATGCCATCTTACCAGATTTAAACTGATGATCTATAATCCGGAATCGCCGAAGTCCCAACGAGTCCGGATTAACAACTTTTGACTGTAATAGACATTCATATAATATTGGTACAGTTATATATTATAGAAACAAAGGGGGTTCACAACATGGGCACGGTTATGGGGCCCTTGAAGAGTTGCTATTATTCTATTACATACTGCATAAATCAAGTAATAGGGGATTACAACTGAATATGAATTAAAAGAGATTCTACTGCATTTGAATTTAGATAATTTTTAGTGGATTTTATTAATTAAAAACAAAAAGTATAGAAAATGTTGATAAATGTTAAAACTTGAATAAAGGTAGTTTTTTATAGTCATAAACTAAAAATAAATAATTAACAATTAAATAAAAGACTGACATCATTCCCCTAAAACTATAAAATTACCCACTGTTGAGAAACACTGGCTTAGACTGTTACTTAATTTGTACCATAAATAATTAATATTCATAGAAATGAAACTGCCAAACATAATTCACAATGAACAATTAGTAATAAAAATTAAAATTTTATTTTATATTTTTACAAATTCATAATATAAATGCATACTGTTTTTCATAAGAAACAGTTTTCAATATTTTTACAAGCACTTTAATTTACATAGGATCAGTAGCCGTAAAAGATCACAGAACTCTTAAGAGAATATGATTACTATTTTTGTGACTCTTATTAAAATAGAAAAATGTCAACAAAATATGTGTTTTTTTATATGTAATTCAAAAAATTTTTAATATGCTACAGAAAATGTTTACAAGAAAATGCTGATACAGAAATAATTTTAATTAGGGAAAAAAGTTTTATCAAATGAAAATTCACTTTACAAATAAAAAAAAAATCATGTAAGATCTTAGAAATTTAAAAAAAAAAAAAAAAAAAAAAAAAAATTAATACATATAACTATTAAAAATTCTTTAAATGCTTTATTATTTAAGCCATTGGATGACTGTAAAACTCAAACACGTTGTAAAATAATAAAGTTTAATATGCCAAAATTTAAAAAAAAAAAAAAAAAAAAAAAAAAAAAAAATCAGAATAGCTTGACAAAGAAATACAGTCAAATCCTGATTTACCAGGCGCAAAATAATCCTTAAAGGTCTTATTCTGTAAAACTGAAATTGCACAAATTAGGTTGAAAATGCTTAAAATAATGTGCTGCAGTTTTTTAATTTTCTTTATATATTATCCTTTTTTTGCATTATTTTATATAATCCAGATTCTTTAGCTGGAAAATTTATTAAACAGTTTAATTTATATGCATTTGCAAGTAAGTAGTGTTTATTTTATTTATTTGATTAAGTGTTCCATACTTTTTTGTATGTGATTAACAAATTAACTATGCACTAATTTTAGAGTTTAAAAAAGAATTAATTACTTCAATACAGTCAAAAGTCTTTAATCCGGACATCCATAATCTGGAATGATCTATAATCTGGACCTCACAGCTACAAACTTTCTGCATGCGCATAATTTACGCATGCGTTTATGCATTTACGCACGTTTATGCATGCATGATACGTTTAATGCACATTTAATATAACGGACAGTATAAGCTAAGCTAAAATTATCTACTGATTATAAGGCTATTTCAGTTAATGTGGCAGATTGTGGTTTCCTTAATCTTCTAATTGGATCCGGCTTATTATTTTTTGCAGACTGTTAGAGCAATTTTTATAAAAAGTAAGCTTAAACTTTCAATTATGTCAAAAAAAATTTCCGATTCTGGAGCTGCCAAAGGATCTACAAAGCGAAAGCATGTTTCGATGTCCATCAAACAAAAAGTGGAATTGCTGCAAAAAATGGATAAAGGCATATCCTTTGTTTCTCTAACCATTCCGAAATCTGTTTACCACTTTCACGCTGCTCTGTGGGGGGGGGGGACGTCGTAGCACGCAATGAACTGGAAGTTGATCTCTCAGCACTATCCTTATCTTCAGGGCAGATGTTTTTATTTTATTCGGCTTATAATTCATTACTAAATGTAGTATTTCATCTCGATGTACTCCGTCTTTGATATGATTTAAATCAAATTCATTATAAATATCACGAATACACATCAAGTAGTTTTCTGGTTGCAATTTTCTAATTTTGACTAAGCATAATATATGATTTACGCATGCGTGCGTTAAAAGAAATGTTTAATAAAGTAAAGAAATAAATATTAAGCTTTTTTTTTTTTGTAAATTTTGATACCCTTTAGATCATAATTGCTCTTTATTTCATAAATTATGGTTTCATATTTTTAATTTTATAATTTCTGCATGCCATCTTACCAGATTTAAACTGATGATCTATAATGCGGAAAAACCGATAATCCGGAATCGCCGAAGTCCCGACAAGTCCGGATTGAAGACTTTTGACTGTATAACAAACAAAGTGTATTAATGCTTATATAATAACAATAGTACATTATTTTAATATTTTATATTTTTAAAATTCATAAAATAGAGCAAGGTCTGAGAGACCCCTCCTCTGTGTTTACGTAACAGAAAATGAATGTCTGTACTTAAGTACTGTACTTAATTGTATTGAAACTTAGTTGGTGCCCTGCTTTCAAAAAAAAAAAAAAAAAAAAAAAAAAAAAGGGCTCTGGTTGGAAAAACATATTGCTGCAATCATCTGCAGGCATGCTAATAAGAAACAGAGAGAGAGCAGACGCTAATATGAAACTTTAGTTGACAACTTTTCAGGCTTATTTCTCCCTTCTGCCTTTCCTCTTTCTAATATGTTTTTAATAACCTAACTGCAGTTACAAATCCCTGCCTATGTCCTGTCCCCCTACTTACAGCTGATAATATATGCACTTTTAATTTGGCAATACGATAATTGAAGAAGTTTTGTTTGGCAAATAATTTCTGTACTTTTGCTGAAACAAAAATTACTACTTTTAGAACTCCCTGGGCAAATTCTGTGCATCATTAGGATGGCTTACACATTTCAGAAAGTCTCATGGCATCAAAGTGTGCAGTGAAGATGTAAGGTTTATCCTAAGTTTCTAACAGTTAATTTTAGTTTAAAGCTACTTTCCTGTGCTTCCAAATTTCATCTTACAATTTCCTACCAGAATGTGTTTTAAGAATCACGGTTAATGCAAATGAAGTGGTATTTAAGTCAAAGTTCCACTGACTTCGGGAGACAGCCTCAGAGTACCTAACTAGCGCACATTCGCCTTTTGGCTACGTCTCTCTCTAAGCTGTTACTACACACGGCCGCATTTCAGGCCCTTGATAGCTTCGCTAGCTTATTCGATATTTAGGGGCCAACTACTTAGAATTTTTATAGCTTTGGCTTTTTATTAAGAATTAGTTATGTCTTATTTCTTATTAGAGTTCAAGCTAAAGTGGATGCTTTGCTGTATGCCCTCAAAAAGGGACTGACTGTTTTAATTCTTATTTTGAGAAATAAAGGGTAATTAACCCTTCTTGAGTTAATGCCTTTGTTCCTGAACTAAACGATTATTCGCTTAACTGTTCATGAGGCTCCTACACATTTAGCTGTTAGATAAAAGGGTAGAATCCCACAAACTTACAAGTGGTGATCAGAGCAAAAGACTTCTAGAGTGATTTTAGAAACTTGACTGAGACTGAAAATTTGCTTCCAGAGCAAATAAACGACGTTGATGAATCAGGGTTATTTTGGAAAGGCTTGCCAACAAAAACTCTTGTGTCTGAAAAAGAAATGAATGCTCCTGGTCACAAGATCAGTAAATCACACGCTACAATAATGATGTACTCTAATGTGCAGGGAACTACAAACTGAAACTGGTTGTCATTGGAAAGGTGGAAAAAAAAAAAAACTACAACCAAGGTATTTTAAAGGCATGGAAGTAACCAACTTACCAGTGTCCTATTTCAATCAGAAAAGGATGAACGAATATAATCATATTTCAGCAGTGGTTTGATACAAAAAAATTGTACCTCAGGTGAGAGACCTTTTTTAAAATCCCATAGTGTTCCCAAAAAAGCAGTGTCAGTTTTAGACAATGTGCCATTCCACACAAGCGAATTAGCATTAAAATCAAAGGATGGACAATTTTTTGTAGAGTACTTGCCACCTAGCGTGACAGCCATAGCCCTAACGCAGCAAATGGAACAAAGTGTATTGCGTCAATCAAATGAAACTGTCTTCTGCTGTGTTACATAAATTGATCGACATGATCTTAAAAATTTTCTGAAGCGTTTTCAATTCTGGATGGCATCTATGACAATGCTGCTACATGGCAGAAAATGAAATTATCAATGCTAATTAAATCTTGGAGAAAAATTTTTCTGGACTTTGTAGGCCACGAAAATTTTTTAGGTTTTGTTACAGAAGCATCATCAGTTTATCTTGCTCAGACAAGCAAGCATATTGTCTGGTGGTAAAAGAAAGATGGCGAAAATGTGAACAATGAAAACATTTCTGAAAGGCTGGAGTATGATTGCAACTTGCCTTCATTCAAAACCCACATGGATGAACAAATTGTTAGTTGTGCAAGGTGGGTAGGAGTACCAAGTGTCAGAAAAGGGGAAGCGGTTGGAGCAGTTTGCTGATGATAAGCTCACTTTATATCGATGTTGATTTCCACTTTATATCAAGTCGAGTGCCTTCTAAACTACTTGGAAGAACAAGAAGGTAGTCTGGTGACTGACAAAATGACACTATATAAGATAAGATCATAGATCTTAAAAAAAAGCCAAGTCAGCAAAGAATAGAATATTATGACTAACTTTTTTATATGAATTTGAATTGTCAGAGTGATAATTTTTTTTTTTTTTTTTTTTTTTTTGCATATTTTACTGTACTGTAATTTTGTTTGTTGATAAAATTGATTTGAAACTTTATTAAACCCTGAAGTTCCTGAAAGTACTGTACAGGTAAATTATCTTATAGCATTTTTCTTATCATATAAGTTATTTATCTCGACTTTTTTAAAAATTGGCTTTGGACTAATCATGATTTTGAGTTAACCATGCAACCTTTGTTAAAATATGTCAGCAACCTTTTAATTTAAATTGTTTGTTGAACAATAGAAGCATTTGCTAATAAATTTATTGTAGTCAAATCACCTATTCTATTCCTCCCACATATATTACCTCAATAAATCAGGAGTTGACAGTACTCTGCTTTCAAGTACCTGCCTTGTTACTTTAAAATGTTTCATTTTTGACAATCAGTAGATAAATAAAATCCATTTTAAACCATAATTAGTCCATTTTAAAATTTAAATAGATGCATTCAGCTTTTATTAGTAACAAAATTCATTAAAAAATGAGAAATACATAAAGAATACTTGAGTACATTTTCATATTTAATTAAGAATAAAAGAACTGGATTTCATAAAACGGAAATATATAATTTTCTTTTGTCCTCCTTTCCAAGAAATTCATAATTTATTTAAGATAACAGCAACCTTTTAATTTAAAATGTTTGTTGAACAAGAGAAGCATTTGCTAATAAATTTATTGCAGTTAAATCACCTATTCTGTTTGCTACTATACCATTTTCCTCACTGCAAGCAACAAAAGACAGCAACTGAATGGCTTCTTTCATTACCCAGTTCACAACCTGCATTATTAGTATTTAAAATGGTTGTAAGAATCTTTGAATTACTGTCAGCATTCTGTAGCTTTCCATCGGAATTTTCAGTAGGACACAATTGTACACTATGAGACTTTGGTTCCTGTTATTGAAAATAAAACTACATGTTTAAGAAACTCGATAATATACTCAGGGAGAAAATATAAAGATTAACAAAATGTAAATTTTTAATACTTTTCTTAATTTTTACCTGAGTTATTGGATCTGCTTTTGAAATATCACCAGTTTTCTCATGAGACTTGATATGCTACAATATTATTTAAAATTAGTTTCTTTATTTTAAGAGTGAAAGAACAGCAAATATCAAAAACAAATGCCATATTTACTCATATATTTTTCCTACTACGTGTTTCAGAAACTTCTGATTTTTAATAGCAACATAGAAAATATAGACAGACACCAAAGTGAAATATGGAAATAAAATTAATAGTATTGAAAGCTGTAACTATAACTAAATTCTTTGAAATACTGAATGCAGTAATGTTAGGACTTCTATTCATACATACTTCTATTCAAACAAGTTCTTCCTTTCCTCTTAAATGATATACTCTGAATGATTTTTCTCTATTGATTTTCAAAAGATAAAAATAGTAAATTAGGGAGAAAGATACATGAGTAAATATGGTATATTAAATAGGAAACCAGTAGTACAGGGTGCGGCAGGAAAACATCCTTATTTAAAACACGTGCCATCTAGTGAGATTTATTCCGAGAAAGGTGGAGTAGCTCTCATTGAAAAGAGCAGTATCTGAAGTTTTATGTCATGTAGGTTTAGTACCGATCATGTAGTAGACGAGAGAGAAGCGTGCGTTCTCCGTGGAGTCGTACTTCTCAACGTACTGCATTTTTATCCATATAAATTGGCAGTGGTGCAAAAACTTAATCCATGCAATTTTCTTTCACCAAAAGAATGCATGCAAAGCCATTCTTGACAATACCATGATGCCCTTGTGTTCTTTAGTGATGAGGCTCATTTTCATCTTTCCGGTTGCAGCATGCATTAAGCAAAACATGCGATAATGGAGTGGCACAAATCCCCGAGAATTTCATGAGCAGCACCTCCATACAGAGCGTGTGACTGTTTGGTGTGCAATGTCCAAAATAGGCATCATTGAACCATGAGTCTTTTGAGAACATTTACCTTATCTCCTTACAAGGCAATTGTCAATGGCCAGTGAGCTAGCCTGATTTAGCCCAGTGTGATTTCTTTTTGTGGGGCTATCTGAAATCTCTAACATCCAAAGAGGACCCTGGCTCAACCGAAGAACAATATTCAAGCTGTGTTCAACAACATACTTGTTGATATGCTGGTAAAAGTGGAAACAAACTTTAAAACTCGACTATCTCAACGCATTGACCAGAACGGAGGCCACCTTAATGATATTATTTTGAAACCATAATAAAAAAACTTTAAGTGTCTCTCTATAACTTGGAAAAAATTAAACTGATATCACTTATACTATTTGTGTTATTCGTTTTTAAAATATCGTAGTTTCCCTGCTGCACCCTGTATAACAGATAGCTATCATTCAAATATCATCATGATTTATATAAATAATATTAAAATAATTATATAAGAGAAATTAAATGCAAAACCATTAAATTTCCAAAAGAATAATTATTTTCCTTTTCTGTGCTTCTACAGCTAGTCCCCCCCTTTTAAAGGGGAATGATGACAATAGATTGCAACCATGGACACTGAATCAGTACATACTGGACTCTGCCTAGCTAGAGACAATAACAGTGTAATGGTTGTAGCGATAATGTAGTAGTATATTTGCTTGGGGCTGCTCATGGTACTTACGTATTAATGCCACTGCACTTACGTATTAACATCATTGCAGCAGAAGTTGCGCTGATGTGCCAATAAAGAGCAATCCTGTTGTTCACACGCAGTTTATCTTTTGGATTCCTTTTTGCTTTGTTTGCTGATTTCTGACGCCATTCTTTAGTGCTACCAAAATGCGTCTTCGGGATTTGCCAAACACAGAAGCAGATGCAATTTTATTTTTTCAGGAGCGAAATATTAAAAAAAAAATAAATAAATAAAAATGTACCAATTCGCATGATATGAAACTTTATTTTGGTAAACGTACATTTTGGAAATGTAATTTAAGACAGTGTGATCAGCGAGTGGGACTTGGAAAAGACAACTGGTTTGAAGGAAGCAGAATTCCATTTGTTCAGCTCTGAGATTCATATACTGCTGGTGCAAGGAGTTGATGTCGATTAAATTTTGTGAAAAGCAACTTGATTTATCGGATAAAACTGTGTTATAGATTGAACAATTACATGCGTGAATTCTGTGTCTTGGATATGGCGAACAAATCAAACAAGAAGGTAGGTGGACCAGAATGCATTGTGGAAATTGATGAAAGTTTGTTTACTAAGTGTAAAAATAATTGTGGTCGAGTATCACCCAAACAGTGGGTGTTTGGTGGTATATGTAGAGAGACGAAAGATTCGTTTGTTGTCCTTGTTCCAAATAGAACTGGCTCTACCCTTCTTAATAAAATTATTGAAAACATTGCAGATGGTAGCACAATCTATTCTGACAGTTGGAAAGGTTACCAAACAAATAGAATAGAAAAAAAAAGATCCCTACATGCCAAAGTTAATCATAAATACAATTTTATTGATCCTGATACAGTAGTTCATACACAAACAGTTGAGAGAATGTGGGGCAGTGCTAAATGGAGGAACAAGAGACATAGGCAAACAGCGAGACACCATTTAGAATCTTATTTAGCAGAGTTTATATGAAGATAGCATCAGATCAAAGAAAATAGACTGTTTTGAATCTATGTTAAACTCTATATCGGCCCATTTTCCACCGAAATCCGATTGACTACTTTGATTTTAAATAAAGTGTTTTAATTTATGATTTGTCGCAAAAATTTTAGGTGTAGATTGGTGGCACTTAAAAACCGCCTAATCTGCAGCTGGGGTGGCATTAATATGTAAGTACCCTGCTCACTATGTAGTTAGTTGCTTGTTTGCGTCACCATCCATTAGCCCCGATGAGAAGTGCATTGGTATATGTGCAGCACACAAGTTTAATATGCACTTGAAGATTATACAGAGGCTGTTCACATATTTTTAGACAATGTATATTGTACTCACAAAACTAAATTACATAAAATTCTTGTGTTTTAAATGTTCTATTTGACATCCCTTATTCTGAACTATCTTTCGACACCCCAATTTACAGGATAATAATGCCTTTTGAAGTGGCAGAAGAGGTATTCTATCCCATTCTTCCTGAACAGCTTTCCAGAGTCCTGTTAGAATTTTAGGACAACGTTTGGATAATGCAGTTTTTAAAAGTCCGAAAGCACAAAAATCCATAGGTGACACATCAGGAGATTTAGTAGGGATATCAGTGAACTGGTATGGCCTTGATACCAGTTTTTTGTTCCATTTCTTTTAGGAAATTGACAGTGGATTTTGATGTGTGACTGCTAGCTTTGTCCTGATGGAGTCTCACAGATTGATGGCACTGTGGGTAAAGCGATGGTATTTCATTCAAACAAATTGGCGATAAAATATGTTCCTGATGGTATTTGGAGTTAATCCTTGACATTTTTTTGCACTCTCTTTATTTTTAACTTGCCATTATAAGAAAAACCAGCAACAATCATGAATCCCTTAAAAAAAGTTTCCTTCGATTCTTTGAACCATGTACTTAAATTTTTTTCTCCCCTTTTATGATAATAAATGGCTCTTTTTTTGTTACAATCATTTAAATACACCCATGCTTCATCTATTGTGACAACTGTTTTCCATTTTAATTTTGAATAAGTGTTTCTCATATAGAATTCTGCAGCGTGTCCTGCGTTGAGCGATATGCTTTGGAAGAAGACGATGCATATTGAGCTTTTTCGCTTTCTTAAGATTTAAATCAAAGTTTATCATTTTGTTTACAGTGGACACCGAGCATTTTAATGATTTTGCAACTGTCCTTTGACAAGGGAGATTTTCTTTTAACATTAAACAACGTATCTTTGCAATAGTCGAAGATGTCCGTTTTTTCCCTTGGATACTTGTTTGGAATTTTTGTCCCACTTGAGGCTCCAAATTGACGTTTTTTTCCTTTCTTGTTGATGATATTACCTATTGACGCTTTAGATATCACAAAACCATGACTCTCACATCGTTTTTGGATAACGGAGTATGCATATTTCTCTTCGGAAAGAGCGTAAATGTAGCCTTTGAAACACTGCTTTGTTAAATTTGCCATTTTGAATAAAAACAAAATTTTCAAGCCACAGACGATAATTTTGACTTAAAAAACATAGTACAATTGCAATTACTTCTTTTTCAGCAAACTTTTTTTATTACCACTTACCAAAAAATGTGCGAACAGCCTCTGTTATGCCTTTGGTGGTAATCAAATACCATACCATGATTGCAAAAGAGCTCCTTGTGGTAGATTCTGGTATTCAAATGCTTTGCAGGGTGAGCATTTTATAGGCTCTTGATATTGCTACCAAGTCATTAAAGCAATTATGAATTACAATAAATATAGCATAGGTGTGTTTAAACTTTCCAAAATATTGGTTTTCCACACTTACTATGCTGTACTGAAAACCAAAAAAATAATTTTGTAACAAGCTCTTTAAAAGTCTTAACACAACCTGATTTTTAAGTATACAATATTTTTATATTTAAAGTTTTCCTTTAATTCTTTCATTCCTTAGTTGTAATTTAGCAAATACGTTTTGGAAGCTAACTGATTCAGTTGTGCATGAGAATTAAATTATTGTACATTAATTCATTTCTTCTACAAGTAATAAACATTTAAAATGAAGCAAAATAATTCTTACTATTATTTCCAATGATGAAAAATCAAACAATTCCTAAATAAATTTCATGACTTCACATTAATTTTTAAATGAAAGACAAAGCCAAACAGATATAAAATCACGTTCAATACCAAAAATTAAGAAAATTCTCAACAATTAAAAATATTTTACTGGGGGAAAAATCAATTTCTAAATCAACGAAATACCAAAAAATAGTCAAATAAATATTTAATTCCTTAATGTACATAAGGTAACTAATTCTGTAATTCACAGGCTGATTTAATATGTATAATTTGTTTTTTTCTAAAGTTGACACAAGTATTGAAGTTTACAAGTTTCTACAGCACTATTATGCATTAAGACATTATTGGGTAATATACATTTATTTGTTCATGAAATGATAATACTGTACAAAGTTCAACATCTGAACTGGTCAGGTCTT